GTTAAGCATCTGCCTTTGGGTCAGGTCATGATCCCAGGGTCCTGGGATCGAGCCCCGAGTCAGGCTCCCCTGCTCCTTGGGGAGTCTGCGTCTCCCTCTGCCTCTGCCTCTCTCTCTCTCTCTCATGAATGAATAAATAAAATCTTTAAAAAAATTAAAATTACTATCCCTAATATCCCATTTTCTAGATCTTAGATTCTACCCAGAAAATACAACTTTTAAATTATACTATCTGAAGAGATAGTAGGCAGGATCTACAAATGAGCAGGATTTACCTATTTATAGTAACATGTACAATAATCATCTATTTTAATGTGAATGCAAACTCATTTGTAACTCATTAAATTTAACTCTTATTAAATTTATAACATATTAAATTTAACTCACCAACATATCACAGAGGAAAGCAAAAACTCACCTCATACTTGAATTTTATTTTCTAGAGCATTACCCTGTAAGTTCAGGCATTAATAGGAAGAATCACAGCTTCACAGAAAATGTGCACCCCTTCACTTCCAACTGTCAAAACTCCAAAAAATGGAGAGCCACATATAATATTAAGTTAAAGGAAAAGACTTAACTGTTCTGTGAAAAGCACTATGCCAGGGATTTCACATATATTATCCCTTTTAATCTTCACAAAAACCTGAACCCAAATCTATCCCATCCCAAAGGCCATTATTCTACCACACCATCTGCCTTTCCTGCCTAAAGAGACATATAACTATTAATACAAGCTAATAAGGCAAAAATGTATCTGAACATATATACATCTTTTGCTTTATTCAATATAAATAAGGACTGTTTGCTAGTATCTTTTTTTTTTTAAGATTTTATTTATTTATTTGACAGATAGACAAATAGTGAGAGAGGGAACACAAGCAGTGGGAGAGGGAGAAGCAGGCTTCCCGCAGAGCAGGGAGCCCGAGGTGGGTGGGGCTCAATCCCAGGACCCTGGGACCATGACCTGGGCCAAAGGAAGACGCTTAATGACTGAGCCACCCAGGCGTCCCTGTATGCTAGTATCTTATGAAATCAAGTTGGTACAAGAAATTTTAACCAATATTCAAAATATGTACATCATCTTGTTCTTCCTCCTACCCTATTTGTTGATTCTTCCAAAGAATTTAAAAAGACTCTCGAAAATCGATCAGTTTCACAAAATAAACTCCCAAAATAAAATTCAAAATTAGAAATGTAATATTAGTGGGTAGCCCACTTTACCCAAAACACTTTTCACATACATTCTTTCCTTTAATCCTCACAAGGAGCCTACTGTTATTCTACAGAGGAAGAAACTAAACTAAGGCTCTCAAAGGCTAAATGAGACCTAACCGACCAAGAATCCAAGAATCTGAACCCAAGACTCTGATGCCACAGCCCATTCTTTCCATCTCACCATGCTGCCTCTCTGGTTTAAAGGAATCAAAACAATTTTTCTTGTGACAAGAAAATCTGACTATAGAACAAAAAGAGCAAACTAAGTGTTTTTTAAAAAATTGTCACAAATTTCATCAAACATCCATTTTCTGATAGACAAATTACTGGTATGCTACATGAAACAGGGATAACCATTCCAATTTGAAATAATCTTGTTATCTTAGTAAATAAAAAATATTAAATCCACATCTGACTTCACTTTCATCTTTCATAAAATTACATTATATAAATGTATATATAAATATACATATTTATGTTTATATATATAAATATGTATATTTATGTACATATATAAATAGGCCTAGAAGGGAAAATGGAAAGAACAATTATGTTAGGATGGTAGGATTTTATATAGGGATGTTTTCTATTTTAAAAATTTCCTTTGGGCACCTGGGTGGCTCAGTTGGTTAAGCGACTGCCTTCGGCTCAGGTCATGATCTTGGAGTCCCAGGATCAAGTCCTGCATCGGGCTCCCTGCTCAGCAGGGAATCTGCTTCTCCCTCTGACCCTCTTCCCTCTCGTGTTTTCTATCTCTTATTCTCTCTCTCTCAAATAAATAAATAAAATCTTTAAAAAAAAAAAATTTCCTTTAAGGGCACCTGGGTGGCTCAGGTGGTTAAGCGACTGCCTTCGGCTCAGGTCATGATCCTGGAGTCCTGGGATGGAGTCCCGCATGGGGCTCCCTGCTCAGTGGGAAGTCTGTTTCTCCCTCTGACCCTCCCCCCTCTCATGCTCTCTCATTCTCTCTCTCTCAAATAAAATCCTTAAAAATAAATATTTCCTTTAAAATTGTTTTAATAAGGTAACACCCTTTTTAACTGCCATTACAAATATCTGTACTATATATCATTACTTAATAAAAATACAAAACAATCATTAATTTGATTGGCAAGTATAACTTTTTATTTTTTAAAGATTTTATTTATTTATTTGAGAAAGAGACACAAAGATAGCCACAGAGAGCACAAGCGAGCACAAGCTGGGATGAGAGAAAGAAGCAGGCTCCCCACCGAGCAAGGAACCCAGTGAGGAATTTGATCCCAGGACCCTGGGATCATGATCCGAGCCAAAGGCAGATGCTTAATTGACTGAACCACCCAGGCGCCCCAGCGAGTGTAACTTTTTTAAAAAACCGAAAGTAATTCTCAGGTAATGAAGACCCTCTAATGAAATCTATGAATACTCAAAAACCTACTTTACTTTTCTATGAATCCTGCTAAAATAAGTATCAACAGGGGGGCTAGGTTATTATGCATTCAAGGTTTGTTAATAACAAAAACTAGCTGACATGAATGGGCCATTAATAAATTGTGATTTTGGGTTGGGGGGGATGGGGTAACTGATGAAACACTAAATTCTACCCTTCAAACTAATACTATACTACATGTTAACTAATTTGAATTCAAATAAAATCTTGAAAGAAAACAAAAATAAAAAATAGTGATTTTGAAACTTTGTAAGGATTTTTATCCTAAGATTTTTATTGTCTTATGGGATTTATAACTAAGAATTATTAACTTTATTAATTCATCTTCATTAATTATTCATTTAAAAATGAAAACAATTAAAAATACTTTGTCAGTTTAGGGGTGCCTGGGTGGCTCAGTTGGTTAAGCAGCTGCCTTCGGCTCAGGTCATGATCCCTGGGTCCTGGGATTGGATCGAGCCCCGAGACGGGTTTCCCTGCTCAGCAAGGAGTCTGCTTCTCCTTCTGCTTCTCCCCCACCACCACCCACTCACGCTTGCCTGCACATACTCTCTCTCTAATAAATAAATCTTAAAGAAAAAGATACTTTGTCCATTTAGTACTAACAGTCTTTATTGCCACCTCAACGAAATTAAGATAATTATAAAAAGTTTTAAACATCTCAAACATTTTCTAATTACCTCAAAATGGCATTAAAATATAGAAAATCTGTTTTCATTTACTTACTATCAGAATTCAAAATTGTAAATAAGTAATATAAAATAAACAGTAAAAACCAAATGTATTCTGTATTCATAAGAATGGTTAAAAAGGAAAAATAGCATTAGAAGCCAATCTAGTAATGAATTCTTTTACATTTTCACACAAATTCTACATTAAAACCTCTGAATAAAATTGTTTAAACTCCAAATTACTAAATCTGTTTCTACCGTTCCAAAAATATGCTACATAAGTAACACCCAATTTATATCCTCCAAACTGAAATTTACAAAGCAATCATTTGCTGTAAGGAAAGTACAATATCATAGGAGTTAATACTAACGAAGAAAGGGGCAGCTGGAAACTGTTCATCATCCTCTGTATTTTCATGTTTATTTCAAGTTAATTTCTTGGTGCAGAAACAGGTACCTTTAAAGAAGTATTTGTATTTTCCCAGTTCATAATATATTTTGAAAATGAATCAAACAAGCTATGGGTTAAATTAGTATTCCCTAATTCCTATTCATTCAACAAACATATATTTGTGTCATCACAATTATCATTACAGGAATTACTTCACCTACCAATGTTTATTTCTCAGAAAAGTGTAAATGCACCACTGCAGAAACTTTTTAAAAGATAATTTTAAAAACTCACTAGAGAAAAGTCTACACAAACTGAAGTCAGCAAATGGTTGAAAACAGATGTCACCACAGCAACCCCAAAAGATGATGAAGGGATGTACTTACGTTTCAAAACAACGATCCACGTTGTCAGACATCAAAAGCAGCATGCATAGCTGTTCAAGGGCTATTAGTTGCATATCCCTTTCATCTCCCTGTCCCATCTGTAGCCATTCCAGCAGTGTATCAGGATCCACATCTGCCATGGTTTTTTAAAAGCCTCTTTGCTTAAATTAAAAAAGTAAAAGGAAAAAGTCCTTTAAATATCCAGGACTGATCAGCTTGGGTTTAAAAAATTTTCTTTTACATCAGCTAGAACCAAATGTTCTTGGTGTCCTCCTAGGAATCAGAAAAGACTCATAAGTATGTTTAAGAGAGTACTTTAATACAGTTTTTCAACTTTATTTCCCCAGTTTAACATTCATATATCATACTAAATAAAAACCAGTTTTGCGCTAGAGTATAAGCTGATTAGGTTGCTACTTAACTGGAAACCAGAGCTGTCTTTGTCAAACACAGTCAAACTTCAGATCCCACTACTGCTATCACCAACGTCTGTGCCAAAAGTCAAAGAACACCTTACTAAAGGTCTTTTTTTTTTTCCCCAGCAAACTTCTTCCCCCGTCCTCCACCCAAAACTGATCTTCAGATAAGTGTTAGATTCAGTATTTTGAGATGATTCTAAGCACTGTGTCCAGTCCCCCTTCAAATTAAGTTTCTGCTTTGAAATGATCTCCAATTCCACAAATTCTGCTGACTTCCCAATTTACTTACTGCTCCTTAAGACATCCACATACAAACAATAATTAGGTACAAGTTGTATCTATGAATAAAGGCGTGGTTAAGAATTCTGGCAGTCTTGGCAACTCTTAAAAGTTTAAAAAGAAATGCTAAAAGTAAATGCAATGGACTAACACCTTACGGATCCGCATACAGGCCAATCTATGGCCCTCTTTCCCCATCCCCACAGAATGGGGCTGTTGGTTAAAAATAATAATAATAATAATACAAAATTGAGAAGCAGCCCCAAGAGGCAAGTCATTACAAAAGCCCGGAGGCGCCCCGACGGAAGGACAGCTTTGGATCCCAGGTAACCCAGATGCAGGTGTGTGAATCCAGCCGCCGGTCCCGGTGGGCACTCAACGGCGGCGACCAGCAAGGATGACCCAACACTCCGGGCCCAGTCGAGCGCCGCGCCGGGAAGCGCAGGCACTGCGCTCTGGTTTCCTGGCACCAAATCTTGCTAAGTTAGCTACCTGTGTCTAGGAGGGGGAAGTTCTGGAGGAGAGGCAGCAAGCCTCCGTGCCCAGCGCAGGCCGCCGGGCCGAGCAGGGCGGCGGGTCTCTCGGGAGCGGCGTCCGGAACTTCGAGGCTCGGGGGGACGTCCCTGGCCCCACCGGGAGGCGAACCCTTCTCAAGGGCAAGGGGGGCCCGCCCTGGGCTCCGGTTCGGGCAAGCCAGGCTCCGGCTCGAACAAGGCGGGCCCCACCGCCGGCAGGGCCGGGGGAGGGGAACAAAGGGGCTAAGCGGGTTAGACCGCAGCAGCCCGGCCGACCTCACCCGGAGCCGGGGTCTCGCTCCCCGCACGCCGCCGGGCATCCCGGGTCCGGCCCCCAGGCCTGGCCGTTCCGACCGCCTAAGGCGCTTCCGCCTCTCTGTCCCTCAAGCTCTTACCCGGGCTTGTCGTCCCAAACCGCTCCGGTCCAGCTCCAAGCAGGCCGCGGGCAGAGCCAGGCCCGGCCGCGGCCCTCGAGTTACCAGGAAGCCGCAGGCCGCGCAGGTCGAGCCGGGCAAGCGGCACAGGAAAAGCCGCGCCTCGTCCCTCCCCTTCCTCCGCGGGGACCTGGTGACAGGGAAGCGAGAGGTTCCCCCGACCGGCGGCAGCCAGCGCACGTCCGGTCCCCGGCACGCGGCTCCTCAGGCCCGCAGCTTAGAGGCCCGCGAGGTGCTGCCGGCGGCTGCGGCGGGGGGTGGCCGCGTCCATCGCGATCCCGGAGGGGGAAGGGAGGAGGGTCGGGCGAGAGCGGGGAGGGGAAGCTGCGGAGGGCAGCCGAGCTCGGTGGAGGCGGAGCAAATCGACTCTCCCGGCAGCGACCCCACCGGCCGCCAGGTGGGGCGCTGCGGAGACCGGTCGGCCGGCGGTGCAGTAGCCCCAACCTGGGGAGCCGGGCGGCGGTATCCGTGGCCGCCACTACTAGGACTCTCTGGCCCTGCGGGCCTCGGACGCCTCAGTCAGCTGTCGCTTCTCTGCCGTACGCCCGCACACTGGTGCACGCACGCTCAGCCTGTTTTGCACCGTGCCTACACACTTGGCGTGCTCCTGCTGTTAGGCCCCCACGCTACACGTCATAGCTGTGGCCAACCTGTCCTTGCCGAACCCCGGCGGGCCGGGCAGCCCGTACTCCGCCGCGAGCTCCCCCTTCCCCGCGGGGCAGCCCTACTCGCGCACGGAAGTGCGTCGCGGGAGGAAAAGCATCTCCCTGGGGTCTTAGGAGGCAAACCGCCCGCAGTTCACCAGAAGGAAAAACCTTTCACCACAACCCCGGGAAGTAAATATTTTCAAGCATTGTCTCCGTTGCACTGATGAGAGAACTGAGGCTCCAAAAAGCGTAAATTCAGGCCCAGTGGCGTCCCGGTAAGCCGCACCGCTGAGAGGGTGCTTTTGACTCTTTTTCCTGTGGGTTGTGGTCTCAAGTACCTCCGTGGTTAGTCCCCTTCAAACGTTTTGTGTTTCACACGGTTTGAGAATAAAATAGGCCTGCTTATAAGTCCTACTTGGAGATTTTTCGGATGTAGTTAATTGGAAATGTGAATATAGCTTTTTTTAAATAAAGAAATGAATCCCTTGGTTTGGGAAATAAGTAAACCCATACCTCAGACACTCTCACTGTACTCTCCCCTTTTCATCTTTTATAACAAAAATGAATATTACATAATAGTATTTGAGCTGTGTTCCTTCAAGCAATCTGCATATGCTTGAAGAACCAGTATTTTGGAAATTACAGATTTGCACTTCAAATATATATAGGCACATATCCCACTGTCACAGGTCATGGTCCCTAGGTTTCCTGTTACCAGTTCAAATCAAGAGAAAAGGGTAGAGGATTCTACTATCTTGTCACAACTACAACACGTGACAATAATTGTTTGGGAGCTATGACTATGATGTGGAGCTGCCAATAAAATCTTCAAGGAGGAGGGTCTTTATGGACTGTGAAGGGTGGGTGGGATATGGACAGTGCAAGGGAGGGCAAAGAATACAAGCAAAGCCTGGTATCTTCTGACAAAGGAAAGGGGAACTGTGCCCCAAGCAAAGAACCTGCATTAAGCAATGAAGGGGAGGCAAGGTAGGGACTAAAGCATGCAGGGCCTTGCATGCCAGCTGCAGAATTTTGGCTTAGATAAGTAACAAGTTTTGGATTAGAACACTGAGAGGAAAAATCAGTCTTAGAAAGATTGATAGAATGGCTAAAAGGAGCTACCTAGACAAGACAATTAGCTGGGAGGTTGCTGAAGTCCGCTAATGGTGGAGGAAGGAAGGGCCTAGTTATTGGCAATAAGAATGAAGAAGAGCTAAATCTAACAATCATTTTTTAAAAAGACAGATCAGAATTTAAATATTAACTTCAATTCTTTTTTATTCTTTATTTTTTTAAGAGATTTTTACTTATTTAAGATAGAGTGAGAGTGAGGGAGAGAGCACGAGCAGGGGGAGCAGAGGAAGAGGAAGCAGGCTCCCCGCTGAGCAGAGAGCCCTGCCCCCGGGACTCAATCCCAGGACCCTGGGATCATGACCTGAGCTGAAGGCAGACACTTAACTGAGCTGAGCAGAGAGCCCTGCGCGGGACTCAGTCCCAATCATGACCTGAGCTGAAGGCAGACGCTTAACTGACTGAGCCACGCAGGTGCCCCGACAATTCTTATTTTTTAACCTGCAGAGAGGACTTGGAAGCTAAGAAAGTGATTATGCTATTAACAGAAAATAGAAAAGTTAGAAGACACTACACTTAATTTTTTAAGGCATATTTTCCTTTATTCCCCCACCATCTTTATTTGCAGCACCCCACATATACCCCAAAATAAATGACTTGTAGTATGCTTTAAAGAAACCTTATCCAAAAAGTGCTATGACTTTTATTGTGATTTCATTATTATGTTATTTTAAATTAAAATATGAAATTCCAGAACAAGAACATTCAAGTAAAAGAATAAAGCCCTAACAAAGCAGATCTTGTGAAGGCAACTGACCATACCTGAATATATATCCCAAGCAACCAGGGTATGTTTACATGTTAATATTTCACCTCCATGTCAAAATATTAAGAATAATGTCCATTGGGGGGCGCTTGGGTGGCTCAGTCAGTTAAGTACCTGACTTCAGCACAGGTGATTTCAGGGTCCTTGGATCAAGCCTCTCATAGCAGATGCTGCTAGGCAGGGAGTCTGCTTGAGGATTCTCTCTCTCCCTCTCCGTTTGCCCCTCCCCCGGCTCATGTTCTCTCTCTCTCTCAAATAAATAAATCAATCTTAAAAAAAAAGAAGAATGGCCATTGGGAATTGCTATGTACCAGAAGGCACAGTGAGTCACAGACTTCATCTTCGATAAACTATATAAAAGTTTAGGAGAGGGCGCCTGGGTGGCTCAGTTGGTTGGGTGACTGCCTTCGGCTCGGGTCGTGATCCTGGAGTTCTGGGATCGAGTCCCACGTCGGGGTCCCTGCTCAGTGAGGAGTCTGCTTCTTCCTCTGACCCTACCCCCTCTTGTGCACTTTCTCTCACTCTCTCTCAAATAAATAAATAAAATCTTTAAAAAAAAAAGTCTAGGAGAAGGTAGATGTGAACCACTTCACTTGTCTTCCTCCATGATAATACTTATCACAGCAATATTGTCAACTACAATGAGAACATCAAGGAGGTAATGGCATGTCAGAAGGCTTCAAAAATGATGTGTGGGGGCCTGGGTGGCTCAGTCATTAAGCGTCTGCCTTTGGCTCAGGTCATGATCCCAGGGTCCTGGGATCGAGCCCCGCATCGGGCTCCTGCTCAGCGGGAAGCCTGCTTCTCCCTCTCCCACTCCCCCTGCTTGTGTTCCCTCTCTCACTGTGTCTCACTCTCTGTCAAATAAATAAATAAAATCTTTAAAAACAAAAAATGATGTGTGAACTGGATCTCAAATGTTCAGTTGGAGCTGGCCAGACATTAGGAAGACCAGGTGGAGAGGCACAGAAGTGTGAAGAGGGCTCCTTTTTGGGAAACAGGGAAGAGGTCACCATTTGGGCATAGGCCCCACTTTTATGAAGTATCTTCAATATATACACAGTTAACTGGGATTGATTCACAGGTTCAGAAAGAAAGACAGCATTCAAATTTAAACTCTTATCCCACTGACATTACTATGAATTAATTTTTAAAATAAATCTTATGAAGAACACAGTTACATGGCATCACGTTTTTTATCTATTAAAAGCATCATTAGATGTAAACATTTCAAACATGCTACAAAAAATGTCTGGGCATTTCTTCAACTTTTAACTGGAAATGGGACTTTCTCTGGCTTCTCTCAACTTCTGAGAAGCTGCAACTATGAAAGAGTGTGGCCATTTTGGAACAGTAGGAAATGAAATTTGGCTGGAACCTCAGGTAGAGTTAGTGGCTGGAAGAGAACATTGAGGTTAATTGGAATTAGTTTGCTAACAATCTTGAACACTATGCTAAGGAGTCTGAAGTTTGTTCTTTGGGCAATGGGGAGGCTTTGGATGTTGTAAACAAAGGAGCACTGTGATATGATGCAGGTGTTAGGATTATTAGCCATCTTCATGTTAAAAGTGATTTCTATAAGGGTGCCTGGCTGTCTCAGTCAGTAGGGTATGTGACTTTTGATATTAGGGTTGTGAGTTCAAGCCCCATGTTGGACATAGAGCTTACTTTAAAAATTTAAAAACCATAAAATTGATTTCTATAAAGATTTACAGTTAGCAAGAGACTTTAACAAAAATTATTTAATCCTCCTATATTATTTAATATATATGAAAAATGATCTGTGTTATCATAAGCATTATTTTACATAAGAGAAAAAGCTCAGACAAGTTAGGTGACTTGCTCCTGCTCTCACAGCTAGTAAAGGACAGGTCTAGTTCTCAAACCTAGTCCTTCAACTCTTGGGCTCTTAGAGTCTGAAGGAATATTCAAAATAACCTGGGGTGCCTGACTAGCTCAGTAGCGGAAGCATGCCACTCTTGATCTCAGGGTTGTGAGTTCAAGCCCCACATTGGGTGTAGAGATTACTTAAATAAAGAAAGAAACTAAAAAAGAGAGAGAGGGAGAGAGATAACCTATTCTACCTTCCTTCATGTTGAAAACAAAACAAAGACAAAAACAAAAAAACAGCGTAGTCATTTGTCTGTGCCATCCCTGACTTGTTATCCAGATTCTTCTTTTTTTTTAAAGATTTTATTTATTTATTTGAGAGAGAGAGAATGAGAGATAGAGAGCACGAGAGGGAAGAGGGTCAGAGGGAGAAGCAGACTCCCTGCTGAGCAGGGAGCCCGATGTGGGACTCGTTCCCGGGACTCTAGGATCATGACCTGAGCCGAAGGCAGTCGCTTAACCAACTGAGCCACCCAGGCGCCCCTATCCAGATTCTTCCATAATATTTCCAGTGTTGGAAATTATTACTTCATGAGGCAATGCATTTTACTTTGATCTACCAGCTTCAGTTATTAAAAGGTGGTATGGTAAAAGGCTATACACATGAGAGTTGGCTGAGCAATGTGTGAAAACCAGTTCCCATTTTACTAGCTTGGTGAACTTGGCAAATTATTTAATTCTTCCAAACCTCAGTTTCTTTATATGTAAAGTAGGATAACCACAGCTACCTAATCAGATGGATGTTAGGAGAATTTAAGGCAATTATGCATGCAAAAACCTAGGCCAGTAGTTCTCAACCTTAGCTGCGTTTTAGATTCATTGGAGAACATTTTTTTTTAATGATTTTATTTATTTATTGACAGAGAGAAAGTGAGAGAGGGAACACAAGCAGGGGGAATGGGGGAGGGAGAAGCAGGCTTCCCACCAAGCAGGGAGCCCGATGCGGGGCTCAATGTGGGGCTGGATCCCAGGACACTGGGATCATGACCAGAGCCAAAGGCAGACGCTTAATGACTGAGCCACCCAGGCGCCCCGGGGAACATTTAAAAAAAAAAACAAAACTATTTTTTAAACAAACTGAGGGTTCTAGAGGGAAGGGGGTAGGGGGATGGGTTAGCCTGGTGATGGGTATTAAAGAGGGCACGTTCTGCGTGGAGCACTGGGTGTTATGCACAAACAATGAATCATGGAACACTACATCAAAAACTAATGATGTAATGTATGGTGATTAACATAATAAAAAATTTTAAAGAAAAAAATAAACTATTTTTTAGAGCCGTTTTTAGGTACAGCAAATTGAGCAGAAAGTACAGTTTCCATATACCTTCCTACCCTTATACATGCACAGCCTTCTTCACTTTCAACATCCCTGACCAGGGGCTCCTGGGTGGCTCAGTCAGTAAAGTGTCTGCCTTTGGCTCAGGTCATGATCCCAGAGTCCTGGGATCAGCCCCACATTGGGCTTCTGCTCAGCAGAAAGCCTACTTCTCCCTCTCCCGCTCCCCCAGGTTAGCTTGTGCTCTCTCTGTCAAAATAAATAAAATCTTAAAAAAAAAAAAATCTCCCACCAGCCTAGTATATTTGTTACAATTAATGAATCTGCATTGACATACCACTGTCACTCAAAGCCCATGGTTTACATTAGGATTCACTCTTGGTGTTGTACATTCTATAGGCTTTGGCAAATGAAATGTACCATGACACATTTTCATCATTATAGTATCATACAGAATAGTTTCACTGCCTTAAAGATCACCTGTATTCCATCTATTCAGTTCTCCCTCTCTTGTAGCCCTAGTAACCACAAATCTTATTTACTGTGTTCATAGTTTTGCCTTTTCCAGAATGTTATACAGTTGGAATCATATAGTATGTAGCCTTTTTGCTTTTGTTTGTTTGTTTGTTTGTTTTTTTAAAGATTTCATCTATTCATTTGAGACACAGAGATACAGAGAGAGCACAAGAGGGAGAGAAGCAGTGGGAGAAGGAGAAGCAGTCTCCCCACTGAGCCAGGAGCCCGACATGGGGCTCAATCCCAAGACCCTGGGATCATGACCCGAGCTGAAGGCAGACACTCAACCATCTGAACTACCCAGGTGCCCCACTATGTAGCCTTTTTGGATTGGCTTCTGTCACCTAATAATATGCATTTAAGGTTCTTCCATGTCTTTTCAGGGTTTAATAACTCATTTCTTTTAGGACTGAATAATATTCTATTGTCTGGATGTACCACAGGTTATTAATCCATCTACCTACTGAAGAACATCTAGGATGCTTCCAAATTTTGGCAATAGGAATAAAGCTGCTCTAAATATCCATGTGTAGGGGCGCCTGGGTGGCTCAGATGGTTAAGCGTCTGCCTTCGGCTCAGGTCATGATTCCAGGGTCCTGGGATCAAGTTACACATCGGGCTTCCTTCTAGGCGGGGAGCCTGCTTCTCCCTCTGCCTCTGCCTCTCTCTCTCTCTCTGACTCTCATGAATTAATAATTAAAACATTTAAAAAATAAATATCCATGTGTAGTTTTTTCTTTTTTCATGTGCAGGTTTTTATGTGGACATAAGCTTTCAACTCATTTGGATAAACAACCAAGGAGCATGATTTCTGGATCATATGGTAAGAATATGTTTAGTGGGTTTTTTTTTTTTCTTAAGTTTTTATTTATTTATTTGAGAGTGAGAGAGAGAGCAAGAGCACGAGCTGGGGCGGGGCAGTGTTGAGAGGGAGAAGGTGAGAGACAAGCAGACTCCCCTGCTGGAACCCAACTTGGGGCTGATCCCAAGACCCTAAGATCATGACCTGAGATGAAGTCAAAAGCATAACTGACTGAGCCACCCGGGCTTCCCAGAATATGTTTAGTTTTATAAGTGCCCAACTGTCTTCCAAAGTAGCTATACCATTTTGCATTCCCATAAGCAATGAATGAGAGTTACTGTTGCTCCACATTCTCATCAGCATTTGGTCTTATCATTGTTTTGGATTTTGCCCATTCTAATAGGTATATAGTGGTAATATATTGGTTTTTTTTTTAAAGATTTTATTTATTTATTTGAGAGAGAGAATGAGAGAGAGCACGAGAGGGAAGAGGGTCAGAGGGAGAAGCAGACTCCCCGCTGAGCCGGAAGCCCGATGCGGGACTCGATCCTGGGACTCCAGGATCATGACTTGAGCCGAAGGCAGTCACTTAACCAACTGAGCCACCCAGGCGCCCGGTAATATATTGTTTTAATTTGCAATTCCCTAATGACATGTTATATTGGGCATCTTTTCATATACTTATTTGCCATATCTTCTTTGGTGAAGTATGTCTTTGGATCTTTTACCCATTTTTAAATTGGATTATTCATTTACTTATTGTTGAATTTTAAGAGTTTTTTTTTTTAAATAGTCTCCACACCCAGCTTGAAGAATTCTTTGTTTATTTTCATAATAGTTTTTATCAGATGTATTCTTTTTTTTAAGATTTTTTTTATTTATTTATTTGAGAGAGAGAATGAGGGAGAGAGAGAGCATGAGAGGGGGCAGGGTCAGAGGGAGAAGCAAACTCCCCGCAGAGCAGGGAGCCCAATGTGGGACTCGATCCCGGGACTCCAGGATCATGACCTGAGCTGAAGGCAGTCGCTTAACCAACTGAGCCACCCAGGCGCCCTTTCAGATGTATTCTTGTAAATTTTTCTTCACCTGGGGAGCTTTTACTTTTTATTTTATCTTATTTTTAGAAGATTTTATTTATTCATCTGACAGAGAGAGAGCCAGTGAGAGAGGGAACACAAGCAGGGGAGTGGGAGAGGGAGAAGCAGACCTCCCGCTGAGCAGGAAGCCCGATGCGGGGCTCGATCCCAGGACCCTGGGATCATGACAGGAGCCGAAGACAGATGCTTAACGACTGAGCCAACCAGGCGCACCAACCTGGGGAGCTTTTAAAATGTCAGATGCCATGGGACACCTGGGTGGCCCAGTTGGTTAAGTGGCTACCTTCGGCTCCGGTCATGATCCCAGGGTCCTGGGATCCAGCCCCACATCAGGCTCCCTGCTCAGCGGAGAGTCTGCTTCTCCCTCTTCCTCTACCCCTCCCCTGTGCTCGTGCTCTCTCTCTCTCTCAAATAAATAAATAAAATCATAAATAAATAAATAAGTCAGATGCAAGGGTGCCTGGGTAGCACAGTTGGTTGGGCGGCTGACTCTTGGTTTCCACTCAGGTCATGGTCTCAGGCTTATGGGATCAAACCCTGATTCAGGCTCTGCACTCAGCAAGGAGTATGCTTAGGATTCTGTCTCCCTGTCCTTCTGCCCGTCCCGTTCGTGTTCTCTCTCTCTCTCTCAGATATATAAATCTTTAAAATGTCAGATGCCCAGGCCATATCTCAGACCATTTCAGTCAGAATCTCTAAAGGTAAGATCCAACCATCAGTATTTTTTAAAGTGCTCTACGAGACTTTAATGTGTAGCCAAGGCTGAGAGCCATTGGCGTAAGTCAATACAATAATAATAATATTTAAGTATAATTATAGTAACACTTATTATTATTGCAGCTAGATTTTATTGGACATTTATCGTGTCCTAACACTTTTCTAAACGTATTACAAGTATTACTTCATTATGCATATTAACTACTTTGACATGTTATCTGTGTGACCTTGGTCTTTTCTGAACTTTACTATTCTGTAAGACCAAGATAATAATAGAAACTAAGGCCCTCATTGAATGATTATACTAAACAAGATAATGCATGTAAAATGCATATCATATATTAAATATTCAAAAAAAGCCAGCTATTAATATTACTGTATTATGAGTTCTGCTGTTTTGTGTGGCCTGCTAGGTCAGCTCCCTCTTTATAGGACAGGTCATGAAGCAACTGAAGACAACAGTTATTTTCCCATGTCCTCTCTTCTCCAGGCAAAACAAGTCGAGTCCATTCAACTGTTTTACACACCTTGGGCATGTTCCAGCTTCTCCATGTTAATTAACTGATTTCTAAGTCTAAAACAGTGCTTCAAATGAGATCAGACCAGAACGGAGGAGTGTAATCTTTTTTGCTCTGAGTTAGGAGCATGGTAATCACATCACTGTTTTGGCTCACAAAGAGTTTGCAGTAAACTAAAGTCCTAATGTCTTGTTCCCTGAACTTCCAAGGCAGCCTCCCTTCAGTCTTTTAATATGATATTTTGTCCTTAATATTTAGACTTATTAAAATAATTTTGTTCGTTCTGTCTCAATCTCTTTGAATATCATCAGATACTACAATGTATCATCCATACCCTCAAATTCTTTGTTAGAAGTCAGTTAGATAAGGGCGCCTGGCTGGCTCAGTTGGTTAGGTGTCTGCCTTTGGCTCAGGTCATGATCCCAGGGTCCTGGGATCGAGCCCCACATCGGGCTCCTTGCTCAGCAGGGGGTCTGCTTCTCCCTCTGCCTGCTGTTTCCCCTGGTTATGCTCTCTTCTCTGACAAATAAATAAATAAAATCTTAGGGAAAAAAAGTGAATTAGATAAAGGTGTTCCAACAGTACATGGCCAACACGAAGGCTCTGGCATATTACAAACCTTTCACCAAGAAGTTATTTATCCATTAAGTAACATTTTCTGGGTATAGTTATTCAGGTAACTAGGACTTTACCTTATGACTTTATCTAACAACATTATCATCTGACCCACTTATCTCTTTCTTGGCAATAAGAATTTTAATATACTTTCATTTAAAAAGTGGCAATATGGCGCACTTGGGTGGCTCACTTGGTTAAGCATCTGCCTTCACCTAGGGTCATGATCCCAGAGTCCTGGGATCAAGCCCCACTTCGGGCTCCCTGCTCAATGGGGAGCATGCTTCTCCCTCTCCCTCTGCCTGCTGCTCCCCCTGCTCATGTTCTCTCTGTCTCTGTCAAATAAATAAATAAAGATCTTTAAAAAAAAGCGGCAATATTAGGAAAATGAAAATCAAAATTGATTTTTGTAGTACAGAATGAACATATTTGGGGGCGCCTGGGTGGCTCAGATGGTTGTGTCTGCCTTCGGCTCAGGTCATGATTCCAGGGTCCTGGGACCCACATCGGGCTCCTGGCTCATCAGGGAGCCTGCTTCTCCTTCTCCCTCTGCCTCTCCCCCTGCCCCTGCTCTCTCTCTCTCTCTCTCTCTCTATCTCTGTGTCTCAAATGAATAAATAAAATCTTAAAAAAAATAAAAAATAAAATAAAAAAATAAAAATAAATAAGAATGAACATATTTGTATCTAACATATTTTTAAAATTTTTTAAATATTTTTATTTATTTATTTGAGAGAGAGCACGAAAATACACACACGAAGTGGGGAAGGGGCAGAAGGAGAGGGAGAAGCAGACTCCCTGCTGAGCAGGGAACCCCACCTGGAGCCTGTCATGGGGTTCAACGTGGGGTTCAATCCCAGGACCTTGAGATCATAACCTGAGCTGAAGACAGATGCTTAACCAATTGAGCAACTTGTACCTAAGATTTTAAAGGAAATCTTGTCAGGGGCACCTGGGTGGCTTAGTCGATAAGCGTCTGCCTTCGGCTCAGGTCATGATCCCGGGGTCCTGGGATCAAGCTCCGCATCGGGCTCCCTGCTCCGTGGGAAGCCCGCTTCTCCCTCTCCCACTCCCTCTGCTTGTGTTCCCTCTCTCAATGTGTCTCTCTCTGTCAAATAAATAAATAAAATCTTTAAAAATAATAATAATAAAGGAAATCTTGTCAAATGCCTTCTTGAAATTCACTTACTTCAACTTTGGCATCCCAGTAATAACATTTGGGGAAATGAAGGATATATATAGGAACTCTTATTTTATTTGCAACTTTTTTTTTTGTCTAAGCTTATTTCAAAATTAAGAGTTAAAAAACAAGACTAGCTTGAGATGACAAATTATTAGTAATACTGTCATCTAGGACTCACTCTTCCAAAGATTTAAAAAATAATGCATTTAAAAATAAATTCTAGAATTTTGACAATTTGTTACAAGATTCACTGTATCCAATATATAACCCTTGGTAGTGAAGACAAAAACCAAATTATAGTTGTAAAAGTTGTGTGCTTTATGTTCCTAGATAGTTTTCTTGCTCCAAGACTAAAAAACCCTTCTATAATTTGCTATTTGTAAACATCCTGTATCCTTCATCTTGAGGAAAATTACTCTTGCAGATAGATAGTTTATTATTCTTCTTTAGCATACTTGGGTATATAATCGTTTCTTTGTAGGCTTACAGAAAGAGTATGGTCTGCTTTATAAAAATTTGTTCAATAAAAAACTTTCAAGGACCTAACCTTTGTAAGGAATTATATGCTCTAATTACAGATTTCAAAATATGCATTAAGGGGAAAACATACATAATAAGTTGTATAATTTGAAGTGTCTCCTTCTGGATATTTGCGAGGAGGGGATTATTGTTAATTGTTTTTATTTTATCTGTGATAATGGTGTAATGGTTATATTTTCTTAAAAAGAGTCCTTATCACTTAGAGAAGCACACAAAAACATTTACAGATGAAATGATATAACTAGGATTTGCTTCAAAATAATTGGCTGGTGCAGTCAGTAGGGCATCTGATTCTTGATCTTGGTCATAAGTTTGAGCCCCA